TTTTTTTAATCTCAAAAGACAACAGAGTTGACAACCAAGGAAGTACAGTTCTGCTTCAAACCTTACGTAACAGGGAAAATCCCACTAATTTACATTATTGAGTGAGCACCAAATGTAGCAAATTATGTCCATCTGTTACCCCATTTTGATATAAATACCAGGATATAAACATAAATTAGGGACCTCTCCTCATCACAAAGGTCCATGCAATGATTCTAAATCCCAGCTCCCACAATTCAGAAAATGCACATGGACAATGAACATTATTCTGTTGGGTTAATAGCCAAATGGTTGCTACCAAGAAGCCTTTGTAATGTGTGTCATGTGGTAAGAAGTCATAGAGAAAAGGTAATTTGGGCAGATGTGTATCTGTCAGGAAAAGAGCATTCCTAAGAAACCATAATGAAACAAAACAAATTGAAACAAAGAGACCCCTGACACCAGATGGTCACGGATCTTCCCTTGGTAACGATGGGCCCTGGGTCAGGGCAGATGGAGAGTTTGGGGACGACTCCTGGGAAGGAATCTGATCTGATAGACCTGGCAGCCTATCTCCCCCTCACAACCTTATGAATGAGCCAAGGATGCCATTTAATGAGCACCTACTGTGAGTGAGTCTCGTGCTGGGGTCTGTCACTCATGTCCTCTCACCTCATGCACCAGGGATGGCTGACACCACCACCGACTTCACTGAGGCCCAGAGAGATTAATCACGTGCCCGAGGTCACCCAACTGCAAGAGGCAGGGCTGGGACAGAAACCCAGGATTGTGGGTTCCCTGTGCTCTCCTCATGCTACCCGCCGCTCCAGGGGAGGACCAGCTTCGTGCTCTGGGCTCCTCCTCTGTAGGGGCCTGTCTATGTATCATCTGGAGCTCAGGTCCCTTTCTCATTACCCGCCCCCAGCACAACAGGGACAGGGAGGGGCAGGGTGTGGTGTGGACTCTGAGTCTCTCCGGGATCGATCCCCACCTTGCAGGCCCTGATGCCCAATGGGGAAGGTCGGGCTGGGCTGGGGCTCTGCCTTCCTGAGCTCTGTGAGGCAACTCTGTCACCTCATCTCCCAGCAGCCTGCGAGCAGGATGGGACCAGGGATGAGCAGACAGGAACCTGGCACTCAGAGGAGAGAAGGGTCCGCCCAGCCCCACAGCAGGAGCAGCAGAGCCAGGAGCTGAACCAGGGTTGATCCCCGCTGTTCCCTCCTCTGAGCTGAGCCTGAGCTGAGGGGTAGGATTGGGTGCCCAGACCCTTGTCCTGCCTGTCCCTCCCTGTACAGTGTCACCGTCACTGGGTCAGAGGGGACAGGCCCCATAACATCACGTCATTGGGGCTTCCCTGTGAGGCCTCTCTCCCAGGAGGTCAGGGCCAGAACTGGCAGAAAATCTGAACTCTGGACCAAGACTCTTCCCTTTAAACTTGGAGATACTGAGGCTCAGACAGGGGAAGGGTGTGTCTATGTCAGTGAATCCAGAGGTGCCTGAACTCCCACATGACTCAGCTCTTGTCCTAATGAAGGCACCCACCACCTCCCCAAAGAGCCCCTCACACACCTTGGGTGGGAGAGACCGATCCTCTGAGCCTCCTGGATTCAGAATGGGGCAGGAGGGGTGGGGGCTGCCTTCTCCCACATGAGCCCAGCTCCTCCAGAACCTGTGCCTCCACACTTCCCTCTGCCATGACCACGCCACCCATCACTGCCTCAGACCCTGGGACTCCCAGCCCCCCACGGACACAAGTCCATCCTTGAGGATCTGGGTCACTCGATCCCCTGACAGACTCTCAGGACTTGCTGGGGGGGCTGTGCTCCCTATGAGCAGAGCTCCCCAGGACTCACCAGCTGGGGAGGTGGGCATTGTGGGTGGGGGACTGGGGCCTCCAGAGGGTCCTGGAAATGAGCACAGGAAGAGGGTGAGAGGCTTGGGCTGACCCTGGACCCCATGTCACACAGACACCCTGTTACATCTGTACTGTGGCCCCTGAGGCCCTCCCACTGCTCCAGTATCCAGGTGAGGGGGATGGAGTGGACGGGGTGGGAGGTCCTCTAAGAAAAGATCTCCTCAGGGAGACAATCCTGAGAGCCCCTCATCAAAGTTTCAGCCCATAATCCTTTTGGGGACAGGACCCTTAACTGACATCTCAGCAGACAGGGTCAGGGGCCCCTCACCTGAGACCAGGAGCTCCAGGGGCTCACTGGGGAGTGACAGCAGGAAGGGGGAGGTGCTGTGTGAGCTGTAGCACCTGTAGGTGCCCCCATGGGCTGTAGTCACAGGACTCATGGAGAACTCTGCCTGGAACTGCTGCGCTCCATCCTCTGATCTCAGACGCAGAGGGGGATCCACTGCCCCCACATTGGAGAGCAGGAATGTATCCCTCGGGCTCTGTGACTGACACAGCAGGGTCACATTCTCCCCTGAGGCCACCCTGGGGCCTGGCTGCACCGAGAGGGAGGGTCTGTCAGGCAGGTATCCTAGAGAGAGGGAGGGAGGGTGAGGGCTGCCTGCCCACCTTGTTCTGATCTGAGAGTCACCAGACTTTACTCTAAGGACCCTCCTCTCTGTCTGTCTCTGTTTCTTTGAGTCTCCCCTCTCCCCTCCCACCCCCTGCCTCTCCCTGTGTCTCTCCCTCCCTGGGGCCCTGCACTTTCATTCTGGCCTCACCACCTGAGACCCCAGCAGGACCTGTGCAGAGTCTGGTCCCTGACTGAACCTACTGGCTCCTCACCTGCCACCAAGATATCCAGGGGGTCACTGGGGGCCGACCACTCAGAGGAGAGGTTGTATCCACCGTAGCATCTGTACCGGCCCCCATGGGACCTGCTCACAGTGTCCAGGGGGAAGTGGGCCTGAGAAAGCCCAGCCTGGGGCTGCAGGACAAGGCTCTGGGGGAGGTCCTGTGCCCCCTCCTTGTGCAGAGCGAATCTGTCATAGCTGACATCAGAGCGACACTGGAGGGTCAGATTCTGTCCAGAGGCCATGATGGGGCCCTGCTGGCTCAGGAGGGAGGGCTTCCCAGACTCACCTGGGGAGACCAGACATGAATTACAGGGGCTGCTCTTCCCATATACCCCATTCTCTTGGCCTGGTCCCCAGGTCTCACTGTCAATCCCCATGTCTCTGGCCCAGATGCCCCTGTACCCACCTCACCATCTCCCATGGGGCTCCACACACAGCAAAGATGCCAATTATGGATCCAGTGCCTCAATCCTTTGATGAGACAATAATGGGACTTACCTGGAACCAGGAGCTCCAGGGCATCACTGGGGAGTGACCACACGTAGGGTCTGTTTCTGTAACATCCATAGCATCTGAACGTCCACCTATGTGTGGGGGTCACGGGGCCCACAGGGAACAGGGCCTGGGATTGCCCACTGGGCTGTCGCTGTGAGTCCAGGGTCCAGGAGAGCCTGTGATCTCCTTCCTTAGTCAGATTGAACGTGTCAAACCCCTGCCCTGAGCCACACTGGAGGGTCACCTTCCCTCCTGAGGTCACGACAGGGCTGGGCAGGGCTGAGAGGCTGGGTTTGCTGTAGGATCCTAGGAGAGGAGGAGGCAGCGTGTTAAATAGGCTCACACCTCCTTCATGTCCCCCAGGGCTGGGCTGTGAGAGGGAGACACCGTGAGATCAGACCCCCTTCCTGAGGGCACAACCTGAGGCTGGGACCCCTGAGTGTCCTCTCACCTGTCACCCCCAGCTCCAGGGGGTCACTGTGTTCTGACCAGCCAGTGGGGCTGAGGTAGTTACAGGTATATCTCTCTGCATAGTTTCCTGTAATGAGAAACTTGGCCCTGTCTCCAGGCTCCAGGGACTCCTGTCTGTCCAAGTACCGACGACTGCCATCTGCATACAGCCGGTACTCCCGAGCCTCCGGGGTCCCCCAACACCAGATGGTCACAGGGCTCCCCCAGGGGATCACAGGGCCTGGCTCAGCCCAGATGGTGGGTTTGGGGAGGGTCCCTAAAAGGAAACCAGAGGCTGCTTTACAAAGACCTTCCCACCCTCATCCCCAGCTCAGCCCAAGACCCTCTCATTTTATCACCTCATCCCAGCACCTCTGTGCTCCCTCCTGAGCCTCAGGGATGAAGTAAGAGGAAGGGTATGGAGTCTGGGGAGGACTCACCTGCCTGCACATGGGTCCTCTGATCCAGACTCAGCCCTGGAAGAGAGTCCCTGTGAGAGATTTGCACCCGGAGGTCTCAGCTGATTCCCTTCCCATTAGGGCCCCGTCTACTTGAGCTGCTTCAGTCTGAGGTTTCCCATGAACAAGGGGGTGTAAACATTATGTCTCTCCTCCAGCTCTCCCTCCTGCCTTCTCTCCCCATGTCCACAACTGACCGAGGCAGAGAAGGGCAGAGAGGATGGACGTCATGGCGTCTGCTCTGAGGGCTCCTGCTCTGCAGATGGAGGAGTCCTGGGCCTGAAGGACAGAGATGCACAGGATGTGGTGGGTCAGAAGCGGCTACTGCCTTCTGGGTTTTCACAGCTGGGGACCCACAGACAATAGAGGGCCCCGCCCTGGGCCTGGCTCTGCATCTCCCCAGGATGAGGGCTGAGGGGGAGGCAGCTTCTCAGGTCTCACCTGATCCTTAGGGTTTCAGGTGTCTTCTTGTCTGGCTCCTGCTCAGAGAAGGTGGGACCCAGGTTCTGGTCCTGATCTGCCCCTGAGAGTCTGGCTCTGAACAGCCTAATGGGTCCCCGGACCACGGCTCTTGAGGGACCTCATTTATAAACGACCCTGCGGAGAAGTTTCCCAGTGGCCTCAGCATTTCCAAGCCTTTTCCTGGTTCTAGGGTCCTGGTAGGTTCCCATCCCTGCCAACCCTTCATGTTTTAGGCCTTTTTAATTTGCATTATTCAGTGTAAGTATTGGTACCACCCTGTGGTTTGATGCACATTTATTTCTTCAATGACTTATAAAGCTCAGCACCTTTTATTTTTAAAAAAAATTTTGTTACTTCTCACATAAGGATATTATTTCCAATGATTTTTAGAGAAGATGGAAGGGAGAGAGGGAAAAAGAGACAGAAAGACAGAGAGAGAGAGAGAGAGAGAGAGAGAGAGAGAGAGAGAGAGAGAGAAACATCAATGTCAGAGAGACACCAATTGGTTGCATCCCACATGAGGGTTGGGAGGAAACCTGCAAACAAGGTACATGCCCTTGACCCGGAAGCAAACCTGTGACCCTTCGGTGGTCAGGCTGATGCTCTAACCAGTGAGAAACACCAGCCAAGGCCAGCTCATCACCGTTACATAATGTCACTGCAGGTTTGCATGTCAGTATCAGTTGCTTGATACAGGTGTTTGCTTGCTTTCTATTGCTCTCTGCTGCCAAATTAAAAATCTGTAATATTTTTTAGGTGATCTGAATGCCAGTCCGTGGTCTCATTTTGTCATCGCAATTATCCTCTTCCCTGTCTCACTGGGGTCTATGAGGAACAGAAGTTATTCATGTTAGTGATTCCATGGTGTCCATTTCCCCCTAAGTTCGTGTTTTTGTGTGCCCTTGAAGAAAAAAATCTCTCACGCAAGTTAATAAGATAGTTTAGTAAAAGAAATAATAATGGATTTATTTTTCATGTTTGATCTGTCGCCCATCTGGCATTGTTTATTGCAAATGCTGTGAGGCAGGTAAGATGTTCACTGTGTCCTGGAGACTCACCCACTGGCCCAGCGCCATGTGATGTGACCATGACCACCCCACCCCACTGAACAATCCAGGTGACTCCACACAAGGGGTCTGACCTGGAGTCTTCTTTCTTCTCATTTGGATGAGGCATCTTCGCTTTTCAATTTCTCAGACCTTCACCATCTCCATCTGCATTGAATGGCTGGTTTCATTTCCTCCATATCTCAGTCAGGAAAAATTCGTCACCATTTTGTGGGGCAGGTGTTGGTATTGCTGAGAAGTCAAGGGAGGAAGTGCCCTTCTCAAGTGTCTTTCAACCATTCAGGATGTGGTAGTGCCACATTGATATTTAATGTGTGTCTGTATGTGTTGCTCCCTTGGAACTGGACTCCCATGAATGCTGTTGTTCTCTGAGTCGTGAAGAGTCTCCACAGTTTGAAGAAGAGAGTGTCACCCGGAATCAAAGGTGCTCTGAAGGGGCAGAATGATTCAGATGAATCATCCCCAGGACATGGAGAGATCCCACTGCTCATAGAGACAGAAACTCAGGTGGAACCTGTGTGAGACATAGGACCTGCGCTCCAGGGCCAAGAGGAGGCATTGAGCTTCCTGTGGGAGCAGATGCATCTTGCACAACCCCCAGGCTCCTCCCTCCGCCACCCCTGGGCTCACTGTCCTGAGGGCCCCTTGGTGTCCCCAGTCAACAAGGCAGGGAGGGAGGTCACCTTCACACCCCTCAAGGCAGCCGTCACGTCCACCTCCTTCCTGAGCGAGCTCCACAACACCCTCACTCCCTTCTCCAGTTTACCCTCCTCATCTGCCCTTGCCACTCCCTTTCAGAAGCTGTTTATGCTTAAACCCTTCCATGGTCCTCACTGTCTTCAGGGTGAATCCACACTCTTCCTTCTGAACTCAAGGTTGTTCATGATCATCCAGGTGTGACCCTCCCACCTCAGCTCTCACCTCTGCTTCCCTCAGCCAAAGGGTATAGCTGCCCATGAACACACACACACTCACATACACACATGCATATTCATACACACACTCACACATACGCTCACACACACACTCAAGGGCACACATGGTTTTTCATCTCATAGGTTTGATGTGTAATAGTTACAGTATCATTTTATCTAAAACATTCACTTCTGCTTTGATTCACACATTGATTATTGCAAAGTCTGTTGCTTTATTTCTAAAATGTAGGGAATACATTTTGGAAATAAGTATATGTTGTTTCAGTCTAGGAGGTAGGGAGTCGAGGTGGCTCTGTTCAGATGGGCTCAGGTGGCACCGTGAGGAGGCACAATGTGGTCCTAACCCAGGTTGAGTGTGTCAGGGAGGGGAGGAGGTTCACTGGGATGAGTTTGGTTGGAGGAGGCATTGGCCTCACTGAGACTAGAGTGTAGCTCAGGCTGATCGCCAGCAGCATAGACTGTAAGGTAGAGATCCCTGGCTGTTGCTGGAGTCAGAGAAGACCTATGGACAGGCTTTTGTGCAGGGGATGTTTAGTGACAGGTACTTTGGAGCCATGAGAATGAAACATTTGAGGCCACAGTGAGGGTCTGGAGGAGGCCAGAAGGCGGCTGATGTGGTCACCACAAGGAGTTGTCCTGGGTCTTCTTCTGAGCTTGGGTCACAGAAAGGAAAACCGGGAGCCAGAACAGTGGGATTGGTTTGGTGTGTGAGGGGGAGAGAGGGGAGAATGGAGGGTTCCTCCTCTCTCCACTTTGGGTGCCTGCAGGAGCCAATGGGGCTGTGCCAAGGTTGCTGACCCCAAGAGGAGCAGGAGCCCTGGGGGATGTTATAACACTGTCAATCACCCACAGAGGCAACCAGCACTGCCCTCAAGGCCTGGGTGTGTGCTGCTGCTTCTCCCTATAACTTCCTCTCTCTGACTTCCCTGTCTCTGTGAGCAGAGCTCCTGCTCTCCATCCCTCTCCATCAAACCTTCAGAGTCCTCTCTGCCTCCTCACCGCCTCTTGTCCCCCAGACAGTACCTCTTTGTCTTATGCTGTTTATTCCATCTCTATGCTTTGGGTAGAAGAGCACTTTGGAGGCCAATCCCAGGTTGTAATCTAAGACCTGGGGACACGTTTATTGAACTTCTATTTTGAGCCAGTCTCTTCTCCTCTACCTCTTCGCCTGTTGGGCAACATTGTGAGCCCTCACCTCTGAGGTTGTTATGAGGATCAGCAGTGTCTGAGACATGAAGGGCCCCAATCTGGTGTCATTTTCTTTCTTTTTTAAAATTTTTTTATTGATTTCAGAGAGAAAGGGAGAGAGGAAGATAGAAACATCAAGGATGAGAGAGAATCATTGATCGGGTGCCTCCTGCAATCCACACACTGGGGATGGGCCTCCTGCAATCCACACATTGGGGATGGAGCCCACAACCCAGGCATGTGCCCTTGACCAGGAATCGAAGCATGACCTCTTGGCTCATAGGTCATCTCTCAACCACTGAGCCACGCTGGCTGGAAAATCTGGTGTCATTTTCTGACCTGATTAAGGCATGTCTATGAGAAAGGTGTGGTGGGAAGGGCTGTTTGGAAGTCACATGTGTGTCCCCCAAGCCTACAAGGCGAATCAGAAGCTGTAGTGCACCCTTGGTTGAATGGCAGATGAGCGCAGACAAAAGGATGCAGGGATGGTGGGTCTCATTATGGATCCTAGACTCAGCCCCAGTCAGGAGTGAAGGTGGAAATTTCATCAGTGGGTTGGTCCCTAAGCACTAAGGCACTTAGGGCACCTCTGACCTGGAGGGAGTCCTGCTCCCATAAAGTTCCACAGACACAAGTGGGGCAACCTCCAAGGTATAAGGGAGCTGAAGGGAACCACGCGTGTTTCACTCGCATTTATTTTTATTAAAGCAACAGTCACATAACATACAATTGAGTCTTTTAAAATATGAAAATCACAAGAATATAGTAAATACACAATGTCTCAATGACAACGTCTATCTAGTTTCAAGAAGTTTGTAAACTCCCCACACACAAAAAACAACAACACCAAGCAGTCCGTCTCCCATCTGCCCTGCTGGTCAGCCCTGACAAACCAATCTAACTTCTATTTCTATGGGTTTCCTTCTCCTGGACATGTCACAAAAATGGAATCACACAAAACCTGATCTTTTGTGTCCGCTTTCTATCACTGAGCTGAATTATTTTGACATTTGCTCACAATGTACCAGGTACCTGTCCTTTGTTCTTTATGGTTTAAAAAATCACAGGGTTGTGAAGACACCTCATTGTGTTGGGATGGATGTGGCCCAGCATGAAGGGGTGCATAGATGTGAATCCAAACCAGCCATGTGGGCAGACCCTCATGTCACAGGGTGAGAACAGAAGGGCAGTGGAGGAGAATGAGTGAGGACAGGGAGGAAGGGACAGCACCCCATGTGGGTGGAGGGGGTGTCCACTACAGAGACATGGCCCATGTTCTCCTGCACCCAAACCTCACCTACCACGTCTTCTCCCCTGGACATTCTCAGCAGACAGTTCCCCCAACTGTAGGCCACATTCTCTTTCAGCACCTCCTGGGGTCATCAGATGGGCTCCAAGGCTCCCCCACTCTGAACGGTGCATTGTTCCCCTGTGTTCACATCTGGCTGCATCCAGGGCCCTTTTGTTGTCGTTTTGAGCCTGAAATAGCAGCACCACGAGCACCACCAGGACCAATCCAGCCACGCCCATCCGGATGAGATTCTCCACTGTGTAGTCTTGGGGTTTGGAGGCTGGAAAA